AGAATTATGCCTAATATAGCTCTACAAAAAGAAGAAGGGGAATTGCACTATATGTAAAAGAACACTATATATCTACAGAAATGCACATGATCAAAGATAAAATCCCTCCAGAATGTATATGGGTCAATATAAAAGGGGAAAAAGTGACATTGCCATAGGTGTGTATTATAGGCCACCCAATCAATCAGAAGAAATAGATGAACTCTTTGCCAACCAGTTAACAAATGTGTGTAGGAAGCATACCACAGTAGTAATGGGAGATGTCAACTATCCAGATATCAACTGGGAGACAAACTCTGTAGCAAGCAAGGAGATCAAACAGATTCCTAACAAACCTAGCCGACAAAGATAGAGGAGGGAACTAGAAGTAAAGCTATACTTATTAATAGAGAAAAAGTGATAAGAGGGAGTTGAAGTTGCCAGAACCTTGGGTGAAAGTGACCATGTCATACTGGAATTCAATAAAATGCAAGCACAGGCAATAGAAAATAATCCAATCAGTGTCTTAAACTTCAAAAGAGCTGATTTTAACAAACTCAGAGAGAACCTAGTAAAGATTCCATGGATGAAAATCCTAAAGGGGAAAACAACTCAAGAAGCATGGGAAACTCTGAAAAATGCGATCATAAAAGCCCAGTCCAGCACAATACCACTGAAAAAGAAAAACAAGAAATTCAAGAAGAAACCAGCATGGCTGCACTAAAATCTCTCTGACAAACTGAAAGACAAAAAGAATAAGTACAAAAAATGGAAAGAGGGACACATAACTAAGGCTGAGTATCAGCAGATAGCTAGAATATGGAAAGATGAAATCAGGAAAGCAAAGACTCAGAATGAACAAAGACTTGCAACAGAAATCAAGGACAATAAAAATGTTTCTTTCAACATATTAATAACAAGAAAAAAGTCAAGGAAACTGTAGGCTCACTAAAGAGAGAAGATGGCAAGGAAATAACAGACAATAGGGAGAAAGCAGAGCTCTTAACTTATTCTTTGCATCAGTCTTCACAGAAAAAGAAAGTATAGCCCAACATGCCAAAAAAACTACTGCAAAAGACAAACTAGAAACAAAAATTAAAATAAGCAAGAAAATAGTAAGAGAACACCTATCTGACCTTGATGAATATAAATCACTGAGACCCGACAGATTACATCCCAGAGTTCTAAAAGAGCTGGCAGATGTTATCTCAGAACTGTTGCGCCACATCCTTCACAAATCCTGGAGCACCAGAGAAGTACCTGAGGATTGGAAAAGGGCTGATGTGGTTCCCATCTTCAAGAAAGGGAAAAAAAACAGACCTAGGAAACTATAGACCAATCAGTCTAATATCAATACCTGGGAAGATCCTGGAAAAGATAATAATAATAATAAAAAAAACAGATCTGCGAACAACTAGAAGCAAACAAAGTTATAACTGGCAGCCAGCATACGTTTGTTAAAAACAGATCATGTCAAACCAATCTTATTTCAGTCTTTGATAAAGTGACTAAATTAGTAGACCAGCGAAATGTCATTGACGTAGTATACTTAGATTTCAGTAAGGCATTTGACAAAGTAGACCACAATCTACTTGTTGGTAAGCTAGAAAAAGGCAGAATAGACAACATCACCAACAGAGGGATTTGTAGCTGGCTAACAAACCATACTTGAGTAGTCCTCAATGCTACTACATCCATTTGGAGAGAAATGAGCAGTGGGGTACCACAAGACTCCATCTTAGGCTCAGTACTCTTCAATATCTTCATAAATAACTTAGATGAGGGAATAGAAGGAGAACTCATCAAATTTTCAGATAACACTAAACTGGCAGGAATAGCTAATACCCCAGAAGACAAGCTCAGGATCCAAAAAGATCTTGACAAACTTGGCCCTATCCAACAAAATGAATTTTAATGTGGAGAAAAGCAAAGTTTTACATTTAGGCAGGAAAAATCAAAGGTATAAGTAGAGATCAGTCAAGTAACTGTGAGAGGGACCTTGGAGTCTTAGTGGATGATCACTTGAATATGAGCCAGCAGTGTGCAACAGCAGCCAAAAAAGCTAATATAATCCTGGGTTGTATAAACAGAGGCATAGAATCAAGTTCACACGAAGTATTAATACCGCTTTATGAAATCCTAGTAAGACCATACCTGGAATACTGCAGCCAATTTTGGTCACTATATCACAAAAAAGATGTTGAGAGTTTGGAAAAAATTCAGAAAAGAGCAAGTAAGATGACCAAAGGCCTGAAGACTAAAACATACGAAGAACTGCTGCAGGACTTGGGTTTGGCTAGTCTAAAGAAAAGAAGAAATATGGGAGACAGTATTCCAGTATTTTCGGGGCTGCCACAAAGAAGAGGGGGTCAAATTATCTTCAAAGCACCAAAGGGCAGGACAAGAAACAATGGTTGGAAACTGATCAAAGAGAGAAGCAACTTGGAATTAAGGAGAAACTTCCTAACAGTGAGGACAATTAACCAGTGGAACAGCTTGCCTTCAGAAATCATGGGCACTTAAAAATCACTGGAGATTTTAAGAAGAGGCTAGACAGTCACTTGTCTGAAATGGTATAGGTCCTCCTGCTTGAGCAGGGGCTGGACTAGAAGACCTCCAAGGTTTCTATTCTATTCTATTCTATTCTATTCTATTCTATTCTATTCTATTCTATTCTATTCTATTCTATTCTATGGATTTTATATAACAATGATAGGATTCCATTTCTATTAAATGAAATATGTGGTCTTGTTTATTATTTATTAAATTTGTTGTGCTTTAATAAATGTAAGTCCCCAACCTTTTGGGCACCAGGGACCGGTTTCACTGGAGATGAAGGGGCGTGGTTTGGGCACCAGGGACCGGTTTCTGTGGACATGAAGGGGAGTGGTTTCATGTGCTGCCTGCATCCCACAGTTGGGGCTTTGCCTGTTTGCACAGACCGGTTTTTGGCATGCCGCGGCCTGGTGCTGGTCCACGGATTGGGGGTTGGGGACCTCTATAGTATGTGGTCTCATGTTTTAAAAAGACAGAGCATTTATAGTGTATAGTAATGTTTTAGATATTGGACAAAGATTTAAGGGATCATGATTCAAGTCAACCTTCAGTGAATGACTTTCAGCTAGTCATACTTCCTCAGCCCATCTTATCTCACAAAGCTGTTGTAGAGTTAAAATGAAGAGAAATCTCTATCTAAATTACTTCAAACTCCTGGAGAAAAGATGGGATTCAAATCTAACAAGTATAAATAATTAAACAACAGATGTAGACTACTGTACTCTATTATTTTAAGTGATGAGATATAAGTCTTTTACCAAAAGAAAAAGATTTTAAATGAATATTTTTAGCAAAACATATGCAGTAATATTTATCCTCATACTTAAAAGGAGAATCATCAAGAAATAGGGGAAGTAAAAGACTGGGAGTGAAAAAAAATTTCTATCCATGATGCAGAATGCAGAGGTGCAGGCAATTACAATATGTGTCCTCTGTGTTACATCTCTGATTCACAAGTTGCAGGGATAAACAAAGAAGCAAACATACATACATACATAAATAAATAAATAAATAAATAAATAAAGTTATTTGAGGAACCACCTCTCTCTGATTACATCTGCCCATTCTATTAGATCTGGCAGGCATGCTCTGAGTACCATTTGCTAGGGATCTAAATTTGGTGGGTCCCAGGAGTTAGGCCTTCTCTGCCATGGAGTCAGCCTATTTATTATTTATATCCTGAACCATGTTACCATGCTGTCCCTGTCCTTTAGGTCCTAATAGTCACCTAGAGGATCATTTAGAAAAGCTTGCCTATAATTCCAGTGTGAAGAGTTAAGGTACTCTCTTCACCAGAACAAAAATAAAGTATTTGAACAAAAATGAATTATCCTTGGAATTATTCTTGACTCCTGATGACTTCATGCATATAATTATTTTGCAATAATAGAGGAAGTGATTTTCCACTGGCTCTTCCACTGTGATTTTTGTTTTCCTAATCCAATTTACAGCTATGATATATTTAGTAATCTTCCATGAAAGTACTGATTAGGCCCAAATCTGCTTAGTTTTTGAGCCTAGACAAGTTCACCCTGAAAAAAAAAACAAAAAAAAAAAACAAAACCTCCTACTAAAACAAACAAGATCTCCTCTTACTTGCTCTGGCTCTCTGAGTTAAGCCTAAGGCAGGCTTTTGCTCCTAAAAGAAACCCAGAAATGAAGCATTAACTCTTTCATGCTGCTCTGTAGGGATCACATGTATTTTGAGTGCAGAATGCTATCCCATTTTTCCCCCTCCTGTCCCCCCCAAAAGCTGTCAGATATAAGATCTACAACTCTTGAGAGCTGCAGTTAGTCAGAATAGACTAGATAGACAGTGTTATATATATTGTAATATTTATATTGATATAATTAATACAATATATAAAATATATACTATAAAAATTATTAAATCTTTTTAAAAGGAAAATGAAAACAAATTCAATCTAATAAAATATAAAGAAAAGGAAAAAAGAAAGGAATCAAAGATGCAATGTAAGAAAGGGAAAAAAGTAAAAGAATAGAAGGGAAAGAAAAAGATACAAAGAGGCTTTCAATATTCTTCACAGCAGTTGTAAGTATAATTGTACCTCAATCTTTCTCTTTATTTATTCTCTTCTTTCTAAAATGTGTCCTGTCTAATCATTTTTATGCAAAAAAGTCCATAAGGGATTTCTAGTCATCAGTAAATGTAGACATTGTCTTTTCTGGAAGCAAATAAATTAGTTTACTTATTTCAGCAAAATCTTCAATTTTGTCAGCCATTCCTCCATGGCGGATAGTGTTCAATCTTTCCATCTTTGTGGATATAAATAATCTTGCCACAGTAATAATATATTGAAATAAACTTCTGAGATTTTTTTTGTTTATTCATTAGTCCTAAAAGTAAAAATTGTGGCTTCAACAATATTACTATTTAAAAACTTCTATATGAAAATATGTATTTGAATCCAAAACTTTTTACATATTCACCAAGCTTGATAAAATGTCCCTTCATGCTGCTCATATTTACAAATAGATTTGAAGTGCCTTTATACATTCTAGATAATTTCTATGGTGTCATATACCAATTACACATCATTTTATAAACATTCTCTTTGAGATTATAACACAATTAAAATTTCAGCCCCTTTCACCACATATTTTCCCACTGATCTATCGATATATTATAGCCAAAAATTTTAGTCCACTTTATCGTACATTCTTTAACCTGGTCTTTCTCTGTATTTGTATCAATTTCAACAAAAATGTACAATTTTTAACATAAGTGCACAATTATACTTCAAATTCTCTCTCCGTGCCAAAGATCTTTCCATCCCATCGCTTTGGTCTCCCGCCAACGCTGTCAGGCTGGACCCTCCCCCTTCCAGTTGAACGCATCCTTAGGTCTGTTCTTTTAATTTTCCTCCCCCGCCCTTTCTTGGCGCCTGATATGATAGCTACGGAAGTCTTCAGGAGTCCTCTGACTGATGGCGTAAATACTTGAAGAGCAAGAAGTAATAGTCTTCTTCTGGGACTGGGAAACAGTTCCCTATATTCTTGAAGGAAAGAGGGTGATGCCAACCCCCGCCCCGTCCGTGCCAGGAGGAGTAAGAGCAGCAAAGGGTGGCAGGTGTTCAGGCGATTCAGGAGCGGGCAAAGTGTCTGAGGCTTCTTTTCACGCAGGGCGTTAAAGCGCACGGACGGCGAGCAGTCAGCCCGGTGCCTTCCAGCCACGAGAAGCAGGAGGCGGGGGGAACCACTGTCTCAGGTTGCCGGAGAGGCTGCACCTTTCCGTCTCAGCGGCGCCTCCTGATTTTTCCAACTTGTGGGGCGGTGGCTGTTTCGTGTAAGTTGCTGTAGTCCGCTGGCTAGTGGAGGTGAAGTCCGGCTTTGATGATCCCAGACGCGCTTCTAGGTTCTGGCCTTCTGCTGCTCCTGGGTGAGGATTGACGTTTCCTTTCTACCTACCACGGTTGTCGGGTGGGTTCCTGGCTACTTGCTGCTGCCCTTGCATAGAACACTCCTCGATAGCTTCACGGCAGGCAGACGTTCAACAGGTGCGTCCTTTTCTGACATACATGCAACTATTATGCCCCGGGAGCCTTGCCGGAAAAGAGAATGACATTTGCAACTCAATCCTGCTGTCAGTATTTTCTTCTCTGGCAGGAATTTCCAAGCAATTTATAAGCTTATAAGAGTCGTCTTATAGGTGAGAGAGGTGGCATATAAATTAAATCAACCAATCAATCAACAGCATATAAATTTAATAAGTTGATAAGCAAAGCAGGCTTAGCTTCAACTTGCAGTGTTGTTGCTTGTCCTGGATAGGAACTCTGCTAGGAAAAAAGAAAGAAAGAAATCAATTTATTCATGTCTTCTATCTACTTGAACAGCAAAGAGCTTGCAGTTATGACTCTTTTTGACTTTGTGATACAAAGAGAGATCAATTTTTTTTTAAGACAGGAAGCTCTGTGGAAAGATAGCTTAGGCTGCTGTTAACAAGACTTCATCCCTCTTGGAATATGATCAAATCTATTTCAGCAACTGAAAAGCCTTAATCTTTAATTATAAAGTTAGACTCTTTCTTTCTTTCTTTCTTTCTTTCTTTCTTTCTTTCTTTCTTTCTTTCTTTCTTTCTTTCTTTCTTTCTTTCTTTCTCTGTCTGTCCTATCTTTCTATCTTTCTCTCCTTTCCTCCTTCTTTTCTCTTAATACAAAAGCACCTTGGGCATGTTTAGTTGAAAAATTCTAGACTCTGCCATGGTGCATAATTCAGGTCTTGCTACTGAAACCAAGTACCCACTTTTTTTTTTTTTAAGGCTGGGGAAATCAGAAGTAGGAGGATTTTTTTGCTGTGCCAAGTTTATCATCAATTAGACTAGCTGCCTTCGCTACAGCATTGCTTGGCAGGATACCCATTAAATAGAGTACCCAAGTGCCTATTTTTATCCTCTGTGTTTATTTTAAGGGGCCTTAGAATCCAGGACAGTTTGAAACAAGTTAAAAGGTAAAGAAAGACTGTTCTGGTCTAAACATTACATTATTTATATTGACAGCAGTTTAAATATTGGAATATTTTCCAGTTTTGTGGCACTTGCCTTGAGATATTGCAAGTGGTTTAACTGGATTACATGTTTTTCTGGAACTCCTGGAATGTTTTAATACTAAGCTTAGTGATGAAACACAAGTTTAAAAAACACCCATGCCTTTCTTTTCCTACTTACTTCCTTTATTGGGACACTCTTGGGTCGTTGCTTTGTCTGGAAATGAAATGTACTTTCTGGGCCAAGATCTGTTCTTAAATCTGGTGAGAATAATGTCCATTGTATAAGCGTTCCAAGATAAAGTGCCCCTCAAGTTAAGTTCAACTCCTGGAGACAAAATAGAGACATTCATATTGCTTCTTTGATAATAGAAGTGGCTTGCTGTATTCTAGAATATTTTTTTCCAGGATATTTCTTCTCTAAGTCTACCAACCCACAGATCTCATATTCAGGTACTGTGATGAAATGCCTAACAGACTTTGGGAACATAAAGGAGGCAACAAGGCTGTGACTTAAGCCAGAGAAAAAAAAGAAGTGTGAGAAAGAGGGTAATTCCATCTTAATTATAACTTACAATAATTATACTGTTTTGCTTATAACAAACAGAAATTTTAACATATTAATAATTTCTGCAATTTATAAATAACATTTAATTCACAGAGAAGTTGTGAATGCAACGTGCAGTTAGAATTTCACTGCCAAATTTGACCTTAATCTTCCAAAATTCAGATTTCTCTTTAATCTCAAAACAACAATTGATGCATTGATGCATACGTTGTAGTTCAGACACTTTTTCCTTAGGATTTCCTATTTGTCTCTATTAAAACAAACAAACAAACAAACACACACACACACACACACACACAGCTACACAGCTTTTGTACAGATGCAGCTGTTTGAGATACTGGTATGGCAGTGTTAGCAATATTTGTGTTTGTTTTGAATGTTACATGTGGTAGCTTCTTTCTTTTTTCTTTATTCATTACATTGTTAATTGCTATATCCTTCCTCAAAAAGATACCTGTTTTGAAGTTTTAATGTGGATAAGTTTATTTAAACAATAGATCATATTTCTGGTTTTGTGTTTTACACATATTTAGTTCAATATTTTTCCCTCACTTTCTTACTTTCAAAATTGAACTAATTATCTATATTTTTAATTATTATTTTGAATACTATATCCATTCTATATTTTAAAAATCAAATCAACCATTCATATTTAATAAGGTGTATGAGCAGAATTATGCTCGTTTCTGAAGGTTGCAATCCTTGCTTAGTTAAATACCTGCAGAACTCATTGGCTTTACCAGTAAGTAAGTATTTTATTAGACTGTTTCATTTACATAAGTCAAATTTAAGCAGTTTAGTGACACCTAATATTTTAATCAAAATATTAGAAACAGTTTACTATTTTTTTGCACATAAATTGGGACAAATTTTACTTTTTTCTTACAGCACTTTGTAAATATGCATTTATCTTAAGAGTATTCTCATTGTAAGTTACCAAATTATAACACCTCCCATAATCTAATATAGTTTTCCTTAAATATGATGGCTAAGAACCTGGAAGCTGTGATCCCAATGTGTCTGAAACAAGAAGGTGGAGAAGGTTGACCGACTATTGCAAACATTAATTATCCCTTGGTGTTATGTGCTCTTTTTATTACAGTGTTCTTATATGAGGCAGAATTCATGGCTTAAATAATTCTTGCTGACATTTAATATTTATATTATATTAGATATTCTTGATATTTGGCAGTTTTTATTTATTGAAGTTTGTGTGGTGTTCTAATCTAGAAGGACCAAGCATTAAAAAGAGATAGAGGGATACTTCTGAAATTACTACCAATTAATCATTTTGCCCAATGGGAGTGGGAACACTGCTGCCAGGGATTTCCCCCCTCCCCCCCCCGCTGTAGCCGTTCTTTTTACTTTTAGTGGCTTCTTCACACACGCAAATTTGTGGAAGAGTGTGCAGATGTGCAAAACTGGAAGTATTTGCATCCTGTAGGCAAGAATAAGGAGGAAAAAATAATTTATAAACATTATTATCCAATCTAAGAAAGCTTTAGTAAGAGGGATTTGATATGTCTGAGCCTAGCAGTGATTTTTTTTTTAAAAAAAAACACTCTCTTTTGGAAAGAGCTAATAAAGGGGATTGAGGATTAATTCCAGATCACCAGCTAAAGAAACTCTAACAAATGTTTATTTGAGGCCTCCTGTAGTGAAAATATTATTTAGTAATAGTGATTGTAGGTTGATATCCATGAAAAAAGATATCTTTGTGATTAATCTTAGGCATGCGTGCTTAGAAATTTAAGTGATCCAATGTAATTTGCTCTTCTACGTTGGAACTTTCAGCAGTGAAAATAGTTAAAGTTAGGTAATTTATACCTAGTAACACAGTCTATTTTCTATGGAAAAAAGTAAGTTTGAGAAGTACTAATTTATTCAGCTGTAAACAAAATTCTAGTATATCTGACAATTTCATAGATTTTGGAAATTCAGCCTCAAGCATAAAAAGCTACTTTTAGAGGAAAGGTAGGTAGTTCTAGTAATTTTAAATTGGACATAAAAAGGTAAAGGAGACCCTGCAGATTTTATTCCACTAGTTGCATGACATCATGGAGCGTTGTTATCCCTATTTATTTGCATTTGCATGTTTTCAAACTGCTTGGTTTGCAGGAACTGGGGCAAGGATGGGAGCTCACCTATTGCATGGAACTCAGGTCTCAAATCTGCGCTGTCAGCTTTCTAGCTGACAAGCCCAGCATCTTAACCACTGAGCTACTGCACCACCAGATATATCAGAGTGAAAAATGGAACTAATAATTTAAACAATCTAAATGGAAACTTAATAGAACTTAAGTGAAATAAATTATTGATATATCTTATTCTTTCTGTTTCTAAAATGTATTAATTTATTGAACATAGGTAACATAAGTACTTGTCTACAGTATTACATTATGCCATTCAGAAATTTTTCAAACTGAAAATTTTCTTAAGGCATAGCAAAACTCACACTAGTTGTTAGAATTAAGATAATGAAACAGGAATTGTATCTTTAGAAAGAAGAAACAAGCGGTACACTTAGTAGAAGTATTATTGCAATCTGAATCTAGCTACTTGAAATATACTTTTGAAATGATTTGCCTTCTTCTCTTCCCTAACTAAAGGCATAGTCATTTTCAGCTCTGTGACTAGCAGTGAAAATGCAACAGTTGGCCTGGAAACCAAGAAGCTTCCCTGTGATTACATGAATGGAACTTGTACAGGTAACAGATGGATTGCAATTCCTAACAATGGCATTGTTTTTCACTAATCGTGAGGAAGACTGTTCAACTGATTAATTGATGTAATTAAGGTGACAAACTAGAAACTAAGAGACTGGGACTTCTATCTGTCATTTGAGCATGGGTGGTTGGGTGACTATGCGCCCATCATACTTCACAGATTTGTTATGGGAAAATAAGCAGAGCTAGCATTATCTATGCCATCTTGAGTTGTATAGAAAATAAAGGCAGGAGAGAAATCTAATGAATAAATAATTTCCATTCTAATTACATGTAACAGTGTACAACATTTTAGGAAACTGGCAATCACAATTAGTAAGCTTTTATTTTGCAATAATTATAAATTATACTGTTATAATTGTAAATATATACTGTTAATTATAAATATATACTGTTTAAATGACTCTTTAAAGAAATATAGATGCATACATTCTGTTATTATCAGTAACTTTGAATTTATTTATTATGAAATTTGTTTGCCTCCCATTTCATGTCTAGTTATTCATAATTCCTTAATAAATATTCGTTAAATGTTACATGAATATAGTAGTGCAGCTATTAACCCAAACCAGGGGACAGTTGTCAAGAATTGGAAAACATCTGGATTTGGAAGAACTATCCTTGGGTCTGAGGATGCAAATGTTTTTGAATTTTCAGATTTGTCAGGGTAGATGTAACCCATGGAAAAAAAACAAAGTCAAAATGTGAAAGAGACATAATTATTGCTATGCAGAGACTGACAGAGAAAGAAATATGTTCATGTTCTGTATATTCTCTTGCTGATGAGACCTCTAAGAACCAGTTCAGACTCTGCATAATGTAAGATCTAAATCTCTCTCAAGTTTTGCCTTGCCTAATCTCTCACTAAGTTCAGAGTTTCACTAGGCTTATTTCCCATCTTGATAAATTTATTTTACATCGACCAGGTGTTTTTAAATTGCTCTTGTTGTACCTTGTCAATCTTCTTAATTGAATATAAAGCCATTTCTCTCCCCTTCTTCTGCTCTGCTTTTCTCTCTTCCAATTATTTATATTTCATTCTCTGCAGCTTGGACTCATCAGCTGTCTTTGCTGTAACAACTTCCTCCAGTTCTCCATATTGTAGGTTCTTTCAGCTTGGTTGTTGGATTGCAGACTCTAAAAAGCCCAACCAAAAACCACCGAGGCCACTCCCATTCCCACCTGACAGGGTAACCCCAAGAATATAAAATTGGAGCAAACCCTACTAGCACTGACAATGTTACATAATTTGGGTAATGAAATGTTTGCAGGCTCAGAAAGTACCAAGGACATCATTTCAACTCTGATTAACAAATATTCTCTTCTGCAGATGCCCTGTTACATAACATTTCACGACAGGAGTTTGGAGGAGCGAGGATTGTTGGTTAGCCATTCTAAGCTTAAATCAGATAGGTGATGGTCATCAACTTGCATAAAATGCATAAAAACAAGGATGAAAGCATCCTAGAATGCATATAGATTAATATAAAGAGAAAAATAACATTGCCGTAGATGCATACTATAGGCCACCCAACCAAGCAGAAGAAATAGATGAATGTTTTCCTAATCAGTTAACAAGTGTATGTAGTACAGCAGTAATGGGGAATTTTAACTATACTGACATCAACTGGGAGACAAACTCTGCATTAGGTAGGAGATTGAACAGATTCCTGACCAATATAACTGATAACTTTGTCATCTTAAAGGTGGAGGAGAGACCTGGACCTAATTTTTACTAACAGAGAAGAAATAATAGGGGAGGGGGGTTGAAGTTGCAAGAACTTTGGGGGAGACTGACCATACTGAATTCATATTAGAATTCAACACAATACAGATACAATAGAATATAATCGAACCAGTGTCTTAGACTTTAAAGGAGTTGATTTCAGCAAACATAAAGAGAACTTGGAAAGGATTCCATGGATGAAAGTCTTAAAGGGGAAAACATCTCAAGCTTGGGAAACTCTGAAAAATATGATTATAAAAGCCCAATCTAGCACAATATCACTGAAAAGGAAAAAAGACCCAAGAAGAAATCAACATAATTGCAAAAAGAACTATCTGATAAACTGTAAGACAAGAAGGATAAGTATAAAAATGGAAAGAGGGACACATAACTAAGGTAGATACCAGCATATAACCTGAATCTGCAAAGATGAAGTCAGGAAAGCTAAGCTTACAATGAACTAAGATTTGCAATAAGTGTCAAAAATAATAAGCAAAGTTTATTTCAATATATAAATAATAAGAAAAAAAGTCAAATAAACAATTAGTCAATTAATGGGAGAAAATGGCATGGAAGTGACACGCAGCAGGGAGAAAACAGAGCTGCTTAATTCCTTCTTTGCATCTGTCTTTACACAAAAAGAAAAAATAGTCCAACCTACTAAAAACAGAACAATAAAACACAGTCTAGGAATTCAAATTAAAATAGGCAAAAAAATGATAAGACAACACTTGCCCACTCTAGATGAGTTCAAATCAATAGGATCTGATGAATTATATCCCAGAATTCTGAAAGAGCTGGCAAACATGATCTCAGAACCATTGAACCATAACTTTCAAAGATCCTGGAGAACCAGAGAATTACCAGAGGACTGGAAAAGAACTGATGTGGTTCCCATTTTGTAAGGGGAAAAAAACAGATCCACAAAACCACAAACCAATCAGCCTGATGTCAATACCTGGGAAGATCCTAGAAAGATAATCAAGGAACAGATCTGAGAACAGCTAGAAGCAAGTAAAGCTATAACCAGAAGCCAACATGGGTTTATCAAAAACAGATCATGCCAAACAAATTTTATTTCATTCTTTGACAAAATGACTAAATTATGGACCAGCAATGGATATAATGTACTTAGATTTCAGTAAAGCTTTTGACAAATTAGACCACAATCTACTTGGTAAGGTAGAAAAATGTGGGATAGCATCATCATCAGATGGATTTGTAACTGGCTGACAAACCACACACAACATGTAGTCTTTAATTTACATTGAGGGAAGTAAGCATGGAGTATCCCAAGGTTCTGTCTTAGACTCAGTACTCTACAATATCTTCATAAATGATTTAGATGAGGGAATAGAAGGGGAACTCATCAAATTTGCAGACAACATCAATCTGGTAAGAATAGCCAACACTCTAAAAAATAGACTCATGATCCAGATGAATCTCAACAGACTTGAGCAGTGGGCCCTATCTAACAAAATGAAATTTAGTGTAGAGAAAAGTAAGATTTTACATTCAGACAAGGAAAACCAAATGTACAGGTACAAATCAGGTGAAACTTGGCTCAATAGCAGTAACTGGGGAAAAATTATGGAGTTCTAGTGGACAATCACTTAAATATGAGCTGGCAGTGTGTTGCAGCCACCAAAAAAGCCAATGCAATCCTAGGTTGCATTAACAGACAATCAAGATCATGTGAAATGTTAGTACTGCTTTATAAGGCCTTAGTAAGACTACATTGAATACTGCATCCAGTTTTTACTATCACAATATAAAAAAGATGTTGAGATAAGAAAGAGTGCAGAAAAAGGCAATGAAGATGACTAGGGGGGTTGGAGACAAAAACATATGAAGAACAGTTGCAGGAATTGGGTATGTCTACTTTAGTGAAAAGAAGGACTAGGGGTGATATAACAGTTTTCCAATATTCGAGGGACTGCACAAAGAAGAAAGGATCATCCAATTTTCCAAAGCACCAGAAGGAAGACAAGAAGTAGTGGTGGAAACTAATCAAGAAGAGAATAATAAACCAGTGGAAGGTCTTACTTCAGAAGTTGTGGGTGCTCCACCAATGGAGGCTTTTAAAAAGAGACTTGATATCCATTTGTCTGAAATAGGTATAGGGTCGTGGTGGCGAACCTATGGCATGCGTGCCAGAGGTGGCACGCAGAGCCCTCTCTGTGGGCACGCGCAGCGTCACCCCAGTCCTAGGTCTTCAGCTGGGTTTTATAAAACCTTTTCACTTTAGGTCTTTGCTGCCGTGTGCAAAAAAAAAAAAAAAAAAGGTTCAGTCAATCAATCAATTTCAACTTCTTGTGGGGAAAAAAAGATCTCACAAAGTTGGAATTGATCAATTGAACTTTTTAGTCCCACCCAGTCTGCCATTATCGCTACAGCCATGCCCACCCAATGGGCATGCCCACCCAATAGGGCCACACCCACCCAATGGGCCACGCCCACCCAACACCTGACAATACATAAATGGGTTTTGGGTTCCAGTTTGGGACTCGGTGTCTAAAAAGTTTGCCATCACTCGTATAGGGTCTCCTGCTTGAACGGGGGGTTAGACTAGAAGACCTCCAAGGTCCCTTCCAACTCTGTTATTCTGTTGTATTGCTGTTAAGCAAAATTAAACAAATGAAAAAAGGAACGCTAGGTTTCTTTGTGGCTATAAATCAGCTACACTGATGGCTACATCATTAGTCCAGTAATGGATGCAGTAGCCTTTTCACAAAACTGTAGGGAACATGGATAGCAATGTTGGCATTACATTCCTGTCCTACTTGTAAAATGCAGAAACAGATTGTTGTATTTGATGGGACTTTCATTTGATTCAATACATTTTTGAATCAATCATTTCTGAATTGATTCAACACATGTTCTTTTGACTTATTTCTAAGCACATATGTATAAGATTGTACTGAGTATGATATCTTTATTTCTGTCTGATCTACTCTAATATTACTAAGGTGACCAACTGTCCTCCTTTAGGGAGGACAGTCCTCCTTTTGTAAGTTCTGTCCTCCCTTGAAAAGTGTCCTCCTACATGTCCTCCTTTTCGACATTTGGAGACTAATCTGCAGGGCTTTTTTTTTCTCACAGAACGCTCAGAACGGTATCCTGGCACCTTTTTTTGATGTTTTTTTTTCAACTTTTGCATGAGGTGTGCTACTCCCACTATTGACTTTGGAAAGCCAGTAGGAATTGCTGCTGAGCACACCAAAACACCCGGCTGGCAAACATTGCACATGCAAGTTGTCTGTATTATTGTTGCAATGAATAAAATGTTTCTTTTATTTACGATATTTTTTCTTCAATTTATTTGTGTCCTCCTTTTCATTGTAAAAAAGTTGGTCACCTTAATATTACTCTTTGAACACAGTTTAATGTTTTTCATCATGTTTTCTGTTTTCATAACATTTTTTCTCAATCCATGCATTCTTTCCCTTTCTATAATAGATGAGGTTAAAGTAAATGCAAGAAATTGCTATATCTCTAAGGACCATTGCTCTTTCTAAGTTCCCCTCAAATCTGTAAGTGAACATTGCTCCTGAAAGCCCTTTGTGCAATCCTTGAATGGCACACAGAATTGGAGTGAAGACAGAATGCTCATGTGAAATTTTCCACTCAGAGTGACATTTAAAGAATTAAGAATACAATTACTGAAAACATTTTTCAAATGAGGAAACTATTAAAAATAGCACAGGAAAAAGTTAGTCATAAGTAATCCGGGTGAATAAGTATTTTAAGTAGAACCTAATATAGTTTTTTACTTTCATATTTCTAGATGGCACCACCGATTTGAGACTGAGTGGACATTTTTCTGAGTGTCCTGAGGAATACAAGCACTTCTGTGTCAAAGGAAGATGCCGCTATGTTGATGCCGTACAAACTCCATCCTGCATGTAAGTTCCAAATCCAAACATGCCTTTTCCCAAGAGTTAAACCTGAGCATGACTCTAATAGCCAAACATCTCCAAAGTATCTGTCATGCTCAGGCCAATTATCTTACTTATTTGAATGTGTTATCTACAAATGGTCAAATATCTTACTTATTTGAATCTGTTCTTTTCAGCTGTTCTTTCAATTCTGGAGGGAATACTGTAAAAACTCTTTAAAAATCATAATGCAATCTTCCAGTTATGGATTTCTCTCCAGGTTCTCTTTAATGTTGATGAGTAGACAATATCTTATCTATGCAAGGATGATTGCTAAAACCTTATTTATTCTTTATTAAGAAATCCATAAAATTTCTTAGGCAGTGCTTTACATTCCATGAAGAATGCCCATGAAGAGTCTCCCTAGTTTAGATGTTCACCTTGCATAGGATGAATCTGTGAGATTGAAGAAGAGGTGGAGCATCCTGATTTTTTTTAACCTTTTAAAGTTATGAGGTATAACTTTTAAAATTACTTTTCTTCTCAGATTAAAAAAGCCAATTTCTTAGATTTGGTATTGCAAAATTCTGGATTTAATCATGTATATATTACAATCTTTATTTCATACGTACCCTCAACTGCAAAAGATTTTTTAAAAAAGATTTAAAGTTAGTTTAACTTTATTAATGAATTTTTATATACCTTCTTAGAGGATAATGTGAGTAATTGAATCTATCATAATCTTATAATTATGATATACCTTCTCCATTACTTATTAGTTGTGGCCATGGTAGTTCTTCAAGGATTGTTAACTGACAGAAAGTAAAGATATGTCAAATTTTAAAATATTAACAGGGATTCTCAATAATGTCAACCATACTACAGGAAAGATAGTTCTAGGTGTCCTTGTTGTTAATTTATTATCATTTATCCTTATTTTTAAGATTCTGACAATAACAAAAATTACTCAATTTGGATAGGATTTAAACTGGAACTGCTTTCTTCTGTGATGTGTTGTTTTGGTGCAGTGTTTCTCAATCTTGGCACCTTGAAGATGTATGGACTTCAAATTCCCAAATTCCCTAGCTAGCATGCTTTCTGGGTAATTCTAGGAGTTGAAGTTCACATACCTTCAAACTGCTTAGATTGAGAAATACTGATCTGGAAATACTGATTTAGTCCAACTGATGGGGTTGCTCAGCCACAGTCTTCCTTAACTGAACAAGTGTGGAAAACTGGCATACACACTGATCTTCCACTGTGTGTTTATTTCCAAAACTTTTTCTAATAAACCCTAAGCATAAAGGGAGGCACAGAGCATGCTGGCTAGGCAATTCTGGAAGTTGAAGCCACACATTAAGTTATTTAGGTTAAAAAACACTATCACGTTCAGGTGATATGCCCCTAAATGCATCTGCTGCCCTTCTAGACCTGGAATTTCACTGGGTGGCAGTTTTCAAGCCCTAAGTTTCATCTGCATGAGCAGTTTGTTTACAGATCTGTCCTAGGCTTCCCCAATCTATACCTTTCACCTGTGTCACGTTATGGTTCTCATAAACACCACTTGGCATGGCTAATGGTAATGGAATTGTGATCCAACTCATCTAGAAGGAACCAGGCTAGGGAAAGATTGCTTTAGTCACAAGTGTGTACTCTACCTGGGATAGGTGCTAGTTTGTAGAAGTAGACTTTAACCCTGAAGGGGAAAAAACCTGATTTGTAAAAACATTTTTTAAAAATATTTTTTACAGCTGTGAGAGAGGCTACACTGGGGAAAGATGTGAGCGATTGGACTTATTTCATCTAAGAGGAGATCAAGGTCAAATTGTTGTGGTTTCTTTGATAGCTGTCATGGTAATGCTTATCATCCTGATTGCGTGTATCTGCACTTGCACTCAGTGAGTACACCCAAATGAAAGTTTGGCTTCTATATGCATTTTCATGAAACTGCAAATGTAGTTATTAAGTTAATCAGTCTTTAGCAATTACAACTTTTGGAAGTTTCTAATACTATATAACAGGCACATGTCCATGCCTTCCCACAAGCACACATGTATACATGCATAATATATACAAAGAAAATAAAATTGAATTTACTATTCCTCATTGAGCTAAAATTTCTTCCTTAATTCTAGCTATGTTGATCCAATATATTATTCAATATTTTTCCTTTACATGAAGCTGTCAAAAGAATTCAAAAAGAGATTTCCTGAATTAAATTATAAATTTACTTGTTTCCATGTCTATTTTTAAGTGGGTTAGATATCTTTAGGTATAAGTACAATACTTTTGTTACATTATTGCTCCAAAGAAATAGTAAACTCCATTTAATTCTTTTTAATGTAATATAATAAATGGACAGAAAAACAGAACAGAATTTTATGTAACCTAGGTAAAGTACTTTCTGTTATTGTAGTTTTTTAAATTGCTGTTATTCAGTCCTATCTGACACTTCAGAACCCCCATGGGACATAGCATGCCAGGCATCTCCTGTCCTCCATTGTCTCCTTGAGTCTGCCCAAACTTGTGCCCACAGTTTCAATGATATTATATAATGATCATATCCTCTGCCACTCCTTCTCCTTCTGCCTTCAATCTTTCCCAACATCAAGGTTTTTTTTAATGAATCCTCTCTTCTCATTTGGTGCCAAAGTATCTAAGCTTCAGCTTTTTAAATAACTGCATTATACTGCTGACTTACATTTTGTTATGGATGACCGATAATATCTGGATTAGCCTATATAGAATTTTGGACTAAAGAAACATTTGATCTTGCCTAATCAGGGTGGTTCAATTTAGGATTAGCATTCATATGTATGTATGCATGTATGTATGTATGTATGTATGCATGCATGCATGTATGTATCTATGTATGTTTATTGTCATGGTTCTGACACAGAGATGAATAAAGCAGAACTCCGAGGCTTGCAAATTCCTCAAAGAACATGTTTATTAGTTACAAAGTATCGGCACAACAAGAGTGAAACCAAGTCCAAGTAACAATTGCCCAATACAAAGTTAAATGTCCCACCCATAAAAATATGCAAGCAACTACATTCCCCAATATAATTATTTGGCAGGCTTTTTATGCAACGCCCAGTCTAGGGAGTCTAGGGAGCAGCCAATGACCTGGGTTCCCATGGGACAAAAGATTATTTTGACTAACGGAGTACCTGGGCAACCTCCCTCCCTCCGTTCTATGTGGCAACCTAGAATGAGAAGGAAAATGGCTGCAGCCATGCTCATTTGTAGAGTTGATATATATAATTTTTATACCTAAACCATGTTGCAGATTGTTTTTATATATTGATTTGAACTTAGTTTTACAACATTGATATATTCTTGCTTTTTGGTTTTAATCATTCCTTCCAGCTTCATATAAGCTGCAAATTTGGTAGCCTTTTTTTTGAGCCTGTGATAGACAATCTGTGATGGTATATAATGACATCTCTAATAATCTTCATGACATCTCTAATATTCCTCAGTATTGGTCATATTGACTGGGGCTACTAGAAATTATGAATCAGCAATATCTGAAGGGGAAGAGATTCCCCAGCCTCATTCTACGTTTTCATCCAAGCCATTTATAAAATTATTGAAGAGCAGAAAATCTAGAAACAACTCCTATGGCACTTCATTTAAGAAACTTCTCCAGTTAATACAGTTAACTGAAACTGAACAAGTAAAAATACAAGACTATTTATTATTATTATTACTCTTGTGGTTTTGAATATATGAAGACTTGACAGTGGATAGGGCCATGCATACAGTCCTTTCCATGTGCCCTCTGACCTCCACAGGATGACTAGCGGAGCTTGTGCTTACTTGAAGACAAGAACAGGGCTTTGGAGATGAATGAAGCAGGCCACAGATCACCCAGCTGCATTTGGGTTCACCTGAATGCAAGTTTTGCTCTGCTTTGATTTCAGCTGGAGATAACGTTCTTCTTCATCATAGACATACTCTTGAAACAATTTTTCAGATTTATTAGAAATCAGTTGTTTACAATATATTGGTTAGACTAAATAATTTCTGATCATAGGTAACAAATTTGCATTATGAATTTGTGACTTATAGACTTAATTTTTTTTACTTCCTTTCAAAGTTATTGTCGGAAAAAACGTAGAAAGAGGAAGCAGGAGAAAACCGGGACTTATGATAATCAGCAACAAATGAAAACTGATGATATACTTGAGATGGATATTGAATGAAGGTAAAGAAGGTTCTGGAAATGTGAAAATGTAGGGATAATTTATTTTATTTCCAAAATTAATTACATTATTTTAATTTGAATTCATAATACTTTTCTTTAATGCAAGTTTGTTTTAATTTAATGGATTACTATACTGAATGTTATTTACCATATGAATGTTTTATGGTCATGTAATGAGAAAGCAATATTTCTCTATGTGGACAGGCAAGTTATTCATAGTTAACTGATTGTTTTCACAGGTATCTTAACTTATTGGCATAGTGGCTATAATCTCCTTTTTTACTAGCCAATACTGATGGAGACGTAATCAGGACATGGTTTCATTTTCTTTCTTAAAATATTTTTCCCTCTTTGAGCTTATGACAGACACTTAAAAAAAAACACATGTGGATGATAATATCATGTTCAGCCTGAATTCATCTGAATTCACCTTGCCACTGGTTTGTGATTTTTTTCTTCATCAGAGGTTGAAAAAAAGAGTAGTTCTTATGAGCCCAATGATTTGCTGAAAAATTACACTATCGTGCTTCCATTTTTTTTTTGATGGGATAATTTTCAGAAACCTTTTCATCTTATCATGCATTATATTGCACCAGTACGATGAGAAATAAGTCTTATTCTCTGTATAACTTACCCATAATAAGCAACTACAAAGAACAGAGGGATTTATATCTGCTGAGTATCTGAACTACACAATAATAATTCTAACAATTGCTTTCTTTCTTAGGTTAAGAAAGGTGCCTGCTGGCAGATTCCAAAGACTTGTGCCCTTTTCCTTTTGATGACTTTCCTGAGGACTAGTGATATGAAAATAAATAAGGATAAATAAACATGGGTATACAACTTCCAGTCATGTGTGATATCTGACATAATAATCTCTTAGTATTATGGGAATAATAGTAATAATATTGGGAATCCAGGAATTTTCTTATATGTCTGAAAGATTTTAGAAGCGGGTATTTGACATTTAACTCCCTTCAATTTATCAAGGAACTTGGTGCTTTATCTGCTGTCAAAAGAGATCAAATGTCTGGTAGTACTGCCTGTTCTAGAGCAGGGTCCCCAACCTTGACAACTTTAAGACTTGTGGATTTCAGCTCCCAAGGTTGGGGACCCTTGCTCTAGAACAGGCAGTACTACCAGACATTTGATCTCTTTTGACAGCAGATAATAATAACAACAACAACAACAACAACAAAATACAAAGACCTACGAATAGAAATAGAAAGACTGTGGCAAAAGCAAGCAAGGGTAGTACCAATAGTAATAGGCTGTTTGGGTGCAATCCACTTGAACACCATTGGCATTGACAAATTTGCTATTTGTCAATTGCAAAAGGCGGCCTTACTAGGAACTGCTTCCATCCTGCGACGATACCTGTAATACCATCACACATCCACATCTGCCTATCCCAGGTCCTGGGTAAGGACTCGATAGGTAGACAAAATGTCAAATCCAGTCTGAACATCTGGCTGACTGTGCGATGATCCATAATAATAAAAAAGTTGGAAGGGACCCTGGAGGTCATCTAGTCCAACCCTCTGCTCAGGCAGGAAACCCTATACCATTTTGGACAAATGGCTGTCCAGTCTCTTCTTAAAAACTTCCAGTGTTGGAGCATTCACCGCTTCTGGAGGCAGGTTGTTCCTTGGTTAATTGTTCTAACTGTGAGGAAGTTTCTCCTTAGTTCTAGGTTGCTTCTCTCCTTGATTAGTTTCTATCCGTTGCTTCTTGTCCTGCCTTCTGGCACTTTGGAGAATAGCCTGACTCCCTCTTCTTTGTGGCAGCCCCTGAGATATTGGAACACTGCTATCATGTCCCCCCTCGTCCTTCTCTTTGTTAAACTAGACATATCCAATTCCAGCAACCGTTCCTTATATGTTTTAGCCTCCAGTCCCCTAATCATCTTTATTGCTCTTCTCTGTACTCTTTCTAGAGTCTTAACATCTCTTTTACATCGTGGTGACCAAAACTGGATGCAGTATTCCAAGTGTGGCCTTACCAAGGCATTGTAAAGTGGTATTAATATTTCACGTGATCTTGATTCTATCCCTCTGTTAATGGTTTTATAAAACCCAATTGAAGGCCTAGGACTGGGTGACAGTGCGAGTGCCCACAGAGAGGGCTCTGTGTGCCACCTGTGGCATGCGTACCATAGGTTTGCCACCACGGCCCTATACTATACCTGTACATTTGGTTTTTCTTGCCTAAATGTAGGACCTTACTTTTTTCACCATTGAATTTCATTTTGTTAGATAGCACCCAGTGTTCAAGTCTGTCCAGATCCTCCTGTATCTTAACCTGTCTTCTGGAGTATTGGCTATTCCTGCCAGCTTGGTGTCGTCTGCAAATTTGATGAGTTCCCCATCTATCCCCTCATCCAAATCATTGATGAAGATGTTGAAGAGCACTGGGCCCAGAACAGAGCCCTGGGGCATCCCACTACACACTTCCCTCCATGTAGATGTGGTTCCATTGAGAATCACGCTGAGTACTGCTGGTCAGCCAGCTACGAATCCAACTCGTGGTGATGCTGTCTAACCCACATTTTTCTATCTTATCGAATAGTAGTTGTGGTCTACTTTATCAAATGCCTTATTGAAGTCCAAGTAAATTACTGTATATCCACAGCATTCTTCTGATCCACTAATTTTGTCACTTGGTCAAAGAATGCAATAAGATTTTTCTGGCATGATCTGTTTTTGATAAACTCATGTTGGCTTTTAGTAATGACTTTGTTTGCCTCTAGGTGTTCGCTGATTCGTTATTTGATAAAGCACCAAGTTCCTTTTCAGGTTGATAAATTAAAGGGAGTTATGCTGGCTGAGGAGTTCTGGGAGTTGAAGTCCACAAGTCTTAAAGTTGTCAAGGTTGGGGACCCCTGCTCAAGAGCAGAGGTCCCCAATCTTTTGGGCACCAGGGATTGGTTCTGTGGACCGGTTTTGTGTGTTGCCTGCATCCCGCAGATGGGGTTTGCTTGTTTGTGCAGACCAGTTGCTGGCATGCTGCGGCCCGGTACTAGTCCACAGACCGGGAGTTGAGGACCTAGAAGATCTAAAATGGTCAGTTATGTTTAGTTGTAATTTCACTAATAGCTATAACTTTATCAATAACTCAGAGCTGAACTGTGGAGTCCCTGGTACTCTCTGAGCTAGGTGTTTGCTTTCAGGTAACATTTTCAGTTCTAGAAAAGAATGGACTTTGCTCTCTGTGTATATTCAGTAATTTGCCCTGTTAGTGTTGGTGGGGGCAAGCTACTGTATATAAACAGAGAGCAAAACCCCGCTCTGTTCTAGCAATGAAGAAATTACATATTTGAATAACAAAATGTCTGCAAACAAACAAACAAGCTCAGAAAGCATGAAGGATTCCACAGCTTTAATTTTAATTGAAGATTTGATGTTTTATGTGGCTTTTTTGAACTACCTATTTCCTTTTACATTTGTCATCTTTGCTGTCATCTTTACTGAGAAGTGGAATATAACCATATTAAATTTCACTGCTCTGAGTCTATGCTTTAGTTTGGACTTAGGATGGCATCCTTCAGGTGAGGTGATACATAGCCTATTTATAAATTGGTTGCACATTAGTAATGTACTTTACTCTCCATATTGCACTGTAAAGGTCTAGGTGCTTAATCTTTCTGCCCCAGTTAACTGGGGAAGGGAGTATCTTTGTAGCCCCTCTATGGACTCTAGGATTTAGACTTCAATAAGCTAAAAGCTTACTGAGTAAGACCAAATGGGCCTATTAGGCCTGAGGCCAGCCCTAATCTAGGTTTTGTCTCACTAGGGCTTAGACCTCTCCCAGACATTGCAGCCACACCTCTGCAATGGCTCACAGTTGTGGTGACCGCTTTCAGCAGCTTCTGCCACAGCCACATTGGCAGGTCTCAGTTGCCACAGTTGACCACCACTTCCCCATTGACCTGCCAGTGGGCTTCTTTCTTGGACTTTGATTGCTGCACTATGGGTGAAGACTCAGTCTAGAGCCTTTTTAATCAGGTGGATCCTTCCCAGGCATGGGACCCCTGTTGAACTGCAAGTAGGATTCTTTCTGGTCTTGACAGGGCTTATTCTTGTTACAACAGCTTTAGGCCGTCTCAGCTGGGCTGCAGTTTTCTTTTTGGCTCTCAGCTGCTCAGCTTGTAACTCTGTTCAAGTGTTGGCTGAAACAAAAAAACTTCCAGCTCTCTTTACATCTCATTTCAACTGGCTTTTATATATATATGTGTGTGTGTGTGTGTGTGTGTGTGTGTGTGTGTGTGTGTCTTTGGTTATTCGGGTTTTCTCCGACGTAAAATTGGAAGTGTCTTGGCGACGTATCGATGAAGTCTCATTCGTCATCTTCAGGCTGGTGCTTTTGGCTTCGTGCTTCTAGGAGCAATGTGTGATTGTAGCTGTTTCCTCCTTTTAACTGCCAGTGGGGGTATGAACTGATTGGATGAGAGCTTGGCTGTGTTCTGATTGGATGGAGGTGTGTTCTGATTGGTTAGGAGCTTGGCTGTGCTCTGATTGGCTGGGGGGTTGGCTGTGTTCTGATTGGCTGGAGGGTTGGCTGTGCTCTGATTGGCTGGGGGAGTGTTCTGTTTGGGTGGGATGATGAAGCACGACCACAAACCAGAAGCCAGACCACAGCTGCATCATTAGCCACTTTAAACCCCTCCAATCCATACATGAAGCAAACTGACACCCACCATGAAGATGAGGCACGACTACGAACGCGAAGCCAAAAAATAGCAATGCAGCTCACCATTTTAAACCCCCCTGCAACTCAGACTAACCTGAGCACAACAAAGCCCCCACCCAAACAGAACACTCCCCCAGCCAATCAGAACACAGCCAACCCCCCAGCCAATCAGAGCACAGCCAAGCTCCTAACCAATCAGAACACACCTCCATCCAATCAGAACACAGCCAAGCTCTCATCCAATCAGTTCATACCCCCACTGGCAGTTAAAAGGAGGAAACAGCTACAATCACACATTGCTCCTAGTAGCACGAAGCCGAAAGCACCAGCCTGAAGATGACGAATGAGACTTCGTCGAAACGTCACCAAGACACTTGCAATTTTATGTCGGAGAAAACCCGAATAACCAAAGACCTATATACAAACACCCGCGAAAATCTCAGAAAACACACACACACACACACACACACACACACACACACACACACACCCCTTCCCTGGTCTTTCTTCTGGGGTATAAATTTTTGCTCTTTTCTTGGTTGATATTCTCAATCTTGCTGTATTTTATGGCTGCTTAAAAGAAATATAGGGAGGGGAGGGGCTGCAGGATACTCTGCACCAAATAGAATGAGAATACAGAATAACAGAGTTGGAAGGGACATTGGAGGTCTTCCAATTCCGTGCTCAAGCAGGAGATCCTATACCATTCTAGATAAATGATTGTCTATTCTCTTCTTAAAAACCTCCAGTGATGGAACACCAACAATTTCTGAAGGCAAGCTGGTCCACTGATTAATTATTCTCACCAATGGACCATTTCTGCTTTGTTCTAGGTCAGATCTCTCCTTAATAAGTTTCCATCTGTTACTTCTTGTTCTGCCCTCAGGTGTTTTGGAGAATAGTTTGACCCTCTCTTTCCTCTGTGACAGCCCTTCAAATACACTGCTAACATGTCATCCCTAATCCTTTTTTTCATTAAACAAGACATACCCAATTCCTACTATTCTTTATACATTTTAGCCTCCAGTCCCCTAATCATCCTTGTTGCTCTTCTCTTTCTGCACTCTTTCTAGAGTCTCTGTCTTTTTTTGTATCATGACCAAAACTAGATGCAGTATTCCATATGTGGTCTTACTAGTACTATATAAAATGGTATAAAG